CCTAATGATTTTTGGCATAAAAGAAAAATCTATAATTTTGACCCATACAATATATTTTTGGCTATTGCTACAAATATACCCCAGCGGCTTGAGACTGGTTTTGTGGTATATATATATATATATATATATATATATATATATATATATATATATATATATATATATTTATTTATTTATATTTAAGTTCATTTTCATATTTATTACAAACAAAAATTATTTCTCAATTTAATATGAATGAGTGAGTGTAAGATAACTTATTCAATAAGAACCGCTTTGATTTGCATAGTCCCTTTGACTGATACATAAATTGATGATTTAATTAAAACCCCAGTTGAAAAACACAGAAACAAACACACTTCTGCTCGACGTACACCTATTGTACATCCAAAATTATTTACATTTTTTACAGAATACTGACAGTACCATTTTTTAACACCTTACCTCCAACAAACATTACATTTAAACTTATTTAACCTAATTATATAAAGACACTTATAAAAATAACTACTATAACAAAAAAAGAAATGATACTAAATACACACACACAATTTACTAGAACAATGGCAATGAAATAAAACCGCATTAATTTGGGATATATGATGTAACTAACTTGATCTGAAAAAACACAACCTGTGTAATTTGGGAACACAGGCGGTTTGACGTTCAGATTATGACTTGTAGAACAACTTTTACAGATGGAGCCGAATGTGAATGTTCATGAATGCATGTGGGTGGGTGGTTTAGAGATCTGGGGGATGGGGTTTAGGCTGCAAGTATGTGTATTGGGGAATGAAAATCTCAGCTTACATGTGAGGAGATTTCAAATCTCTCATTCACTTCTCATTACAAAAAAACCTCAATGATTTACAACAGGAGCCATTCAACAAGGCCAAAAATGAAACTTTAATCAATCCTCTCATGTTTTTTTCCTCGCTCCATTCTTTGACTGTCTTTGAAATTCGATAAAACCAAAACAGCCACTGTACCAAAACAGTCTTTGATGGTTCTACCAGTTGTGCCACAAGAAAATGTAGGTCCTATCTGATGATTTCACACTGTAGCTCAGGCTAATGAGTGACAGCTAACCACCAATATATACTGTTTGGTCTTCCGAAATATCATGTGTAGTTTTATTTTGAAGTATATCTGCGGGCAGGATTGTCTGTTTGCTCGACCAATGGAAGACAGCAGAAATGTTTGGGAAGCCTGCCAAAGGTAAACAATGATTACGTGCCATGATGTTGCATATGTTGGAAGGCACTGAGAATCGCACTGTGACAGACGTGAGACTGAACAGAGCATCAGGTCGCTTAGTCTGTGGCCCTGCAAAGAATTGTGGGTAATTGGCAGTGACTAATAGCCATCAGGCAGAAGAGCGGGACCCAAGAGGCCAGTCAAACTCCCTGCGCTACCCTCCCTGAAGCCGTGATAAGCTCCTTACTGCTCAGTGACTGTGGCCAACCAGCCAGGCAGCATGAAAGATTGATGATAGAAAGAGGGAGGGGAAAAAAAAGAATAGAGTTAAAAAAAAAAAAACATTCTGACAAATGCTTGCAGTTTACGAAAGTTTAGCCTTGGCACAAACAGCTCAGATCTGACAAAGCGTTAAGATGTCTCAGGTGGCGAGAACAAGAGCCAAAGCGAAACATCTCGACACTGAACGGTGTCAGGATGGTTGGGCGGGTAGCGGGGCTGAGGTTGAAACACTTGCTGAGAAAAACACAAGCAAAGACGCGGCCCTTCCCTCCTACCGTATCGCCCTA